AAAAATAGGGGTCGAAACGTTTATTTATTAAAATTGTGATATGACTTGTTTAATTACACGAAAATAAATTGTACATCCGACTAACTGATGATTGGCTTTGATGGGCTTGCTTATTATTATTATTATTGATAAAATTGAACTTATTTGTACCTCTTGTAAAAACCATCTGTAACATGCTACAGCTGATGAATAAGTTTTCCACGTATTTTTTAATAATTTAGGTTTTAATTAGCAACAAATTCACATTCTCTGACAAAAATTGTGAGATGCTTCAACAGGCGTACAGGTACCAGAAATTAGCAGGTAACTCTTTGGAAATATTATAGAAACGCACTCAACTGTATTCCAAATATTCTTTTTGTTACGTTCTCCAACGAGCAATAACAGATTCTACCAAATGTTCTAACCATCCCAGTGACACTGCTCATCTGGAAGTGCTTCTCTCTGGAACTGCTAGAAATATGTTGTAGCGTAAACCTGACATTACGCAGGTTTCTCTCTACGACAAACCTATACTCTCCAAAGTCTATCTCCTCACACGGACTCTCCGTCCCAATTGTTCTTTGCAGTACAAAACTCCTCTGAATCAAATCCACGCATGGTGTCCATGAGGAATTATCTTCGAAGAAATCCTGATTTTTAGAGCCTCCAACTCTTTCAGCAGACTGTCCATTTTAATTGAATCAACATTAATCGAATGATACGTCCTTGTACGTCCAAGTTAAATAAATTTTAAATGCAAATAAATATACATATATTATACAGCAATATTAATAATAGTTATTATTTTCATCGTTATCATCATAATCGTCATTGTCATCATTGTCATCATCATCGTCATCATCGTCATCATTATCATCATCATCATCATCATCATCATCATCATCATCATCATCATCATCATCATCATCATCATCATCATCATCATCATCGTCACCCATACAGCACAGAATCCTTTCAGAAATATTTCAGAAATATATCACGTGTGCAATTGAAATATCTCAAAAACATTACAAAATGTTTCTGCAAAATCTCTGAGATGTCTCTGCAATATCAAAATGTCCGCGATTCTTGTACTTGAAATCTTTCTGAAAGTGCTCTGAAAGAACACCGAAATATGTCTGAAACATTTCTAAGTGTTTGATAATAAGTAACTGAAATAAATCTGACACCTTTTGGAAATATGTTCGAAATTTTATTGGAAAAGGCTCGGCACCCGCCGGCACTAGAGACCCTTTACTAGAGACTGATCATTCGGCACACAAATGGCGGCGATAAATCGATAAATCGATTCGATCAGTTGTCGATTTCGTTTGTTGATCGTTATATCAGAAGAAGTGTATTACATGTAGGTAGGAGAAATAGCTTGTAAGTATACATATTGACTGAATTTAGGTATTAAAATAGATTGTTATTTATATAGAATATTTTCCAATTGCTTAACACAAACGTAGCAAATTAGTTCACACATTTTTAGTGTTAACATAATAATTTAATTCTTTTAAGGTTATGAAGTTATCGTGCTTTCCAGCAAGGACATAGTCAGACACAGTATAATACAGTGAATCATTACATCCTTGTTATTTATTACATGTCAAACAAGGAAAAACGATGCTCGTGATCGTTGCGAGCGTCAAGTGGAATGCACCCAAAGATATTAAAAAGTTCATAGCGTTTGAGCAA